GATCTTCATGATTTCCCCATCCAGAATCCGGACATACAGTATTATACAGATGGTAGTAGTTATGTGGAAGAAGGTATACGTTATGCAGGGTATGCGGTAACAACTATAGACAAGGTGATAGAGGCACGGCCACTGTCGAAAGGGACATCAGCACAGAAGGCGGAACTGATTGCATTAACAAGGGCCTTGCAATTAGCTGCAGGGTTGAGAGTGAATATTTACACAGATTCGAAATATGCTTTTCTAACCACCCATGCCCATAGAGCATTGTATAAAGAAAGGGAATTGTTGAATTCAGAAGGGAAATAAATCAAGTATGCAGCAGAAATACTCCAACTGTTAGAGGCGGTATGGGAACCGAAGGAAGTCGGTATTATATATTGCAGGGCACATCTGAAAGGTGATAGTGATGTAGTAAAAGGAAATCGCATTGCCGATAGTGCAGCAAAACATGCCGCTGAATCCGGGCAAGAGGAATATGTGGGGTATGTTGCTGCCCTTGTGCCGGCACCTCTGTCTCAATGGACTCCGATATATAAAACCCAAGAGATGGAGTGGTTGAAGACTGAAGCTGGGAAATACTTGGAGAGTAATTGGTATCAGTTAGAAGATGGAAGAATAGTTATTCCGACATCTCTGGCTATAGAGATTGTTCAGAACTTCCATAATGGTACACATTCAGGAAGAGATAGTATGGAAGAATCTCTCAGGAAACATTTCTACATACCAAGATTATCCAATCTTACTCAAGCTATTGTTCGAAGATGTGTTTTGTGTGCTCGAAACAATGCAAGACAAGGCCCTGTCAAACCCACTGGAGTTCAATATATGGGAGGACTCCCAATGTCAGATTTGCAAATTGACTACACTGTAATGCCTAAATCTGGGGGATATCGTTACTTGTTAGTAGCTGTGTGTACCTATTCAGGTTGGGTAGAAGCTTGTCCAACTCGTACAGAAAAGGCAGGAGAAGTTGTACGATTTCTGTTATGAGAAGTTATACCCAGATATGGACTTCCGTGTTCTATCGGATCAGACAATGGTCCAGCCTTTGTCCATCAGTGCTTACAACAATTGACTCATGTGCTTGGTATTAAGTGGAAACTTCATACAGCATATAGACCTCAGAGTTCTGGAAAGGTGGAAAGGATGAACAGAACAATAAAAACCCAATTGGGTAAAATGTGTCAGGAAACTCAGCTCAAGTGGAATGTCCTTTTGCCAATAGCTCTGTTGCAGATACATAGTACTCCTACCAGAAGAATGGGTCTGTCTCCCTTTGAAATTGTGTATGGGTGTCCACCTCCCATACTCAGTTATCTAAGGGGGGACTTGAATCAGTTGGGTGAAGGAATTACTCGGCAGCAGGTTGTAGAGTTGGGTAAAACTTTGGAGGAAGTACAGAAATGGGTGCAAGATAGGTTACCTGTGAACATATATCCACCTGTTCATTCCTATCAACCGGGAGATCAAGTGTGGATAAAAGAATGGAATATTGTTCCATTAGGTCCAAAGTGGAGGGGTCCTTATGTTGTTCTTTTATCTACTCCAACAGCTGTAAAGGTGGCAGAAATGACTCAGTGGATTCATCATTCTAGGGTTAAACCAGCGGCAGATTCTTGGCAAGCTATTCCAGATTCTGACAATCCTAAAATCCGGTTAAAGCTGGTAGCTCAGTCGGAGTGAGAAATAATACGAGGAGATATTGGGACATCTTAGTTTAAATGTAATAACAGATATCAGCAAGTAGGTGTTTTGACGGCCATAATAAAGCCTGCCTACGTTTCATAGTCAGAGTATCTCGAAAGGACCTCTGTGAAGGTAAGTGAGGATCAGGAGTACTACAATCCTTGCAGCCCTCACAAGCGGGAAGCTGAGGTGCCGTCGCACGGTCGAAGAATTAAGATGAGGATCACAAGAATAATGTGTTTAATTACGTGATTTAGTATTTTTATGATTTTTCAGGAGGGTAAAGGTAAGGATATTCCAAGCTGTGTTAGTTGTATTAAGACTACGAAAACAGGTAACCAGATATCCCAGACCCTAATTTGGCACTCACAATATGAATGTAATGTGTCTAGGTGTAGGTACTTAGATACTGATTATAGTGTGTGTTATCCGATATCAGGTAAGACTAAGTGTTTCGATCCCCAATTCCAACCCCATACAATTTGGTTGGTAATTCGGAACAGTAACTCCCAGGGGACCTTGATAAATAGGACTGTGATAAATACCATACATTCTACGGGCATTCTACTAGTTGATGCATGTAAGGCGATCTCTGGTAGTGGAAAACCTTGGAATGTATATGGTAATCTTAAATTGGAACAAACTTATGGGTTTAATGATAAATATTTATGTCCCAGTAAGAGATCTACTGATCCTGATTGCCCAAATAGGGATTTTCATTTTTGTCCATATTGGTCTTGTGTAGGGTGGGCGACCTGGGGAAAAACAGTGGATCAAGATATGATTATCCAAAGGTTGCCCACTACACCACACTGTAAGTCTATGGAATGTAATCCTGTCCATATGACCATCTCTAATCCACAACATTTTATTGATAAGTTTGGAAATCTATTTGGGTTGCAAATATATGGCACAGGAGTAGACCCAGGGACCATAATATATGTAGGACTTGAAACTGAGATGATAGCAACTCAAACTCATCAGGTTTTTCATTCCTTCTATGAGGAGATGAGTGTTGAGGATAAAATTCCCCATAATGTTAAGAACCTATGTATTGATTTGGCTGAGAGTATAGTCTTAATATAACTAACTGCTTTGTATGTGGAGGTACTTATATGGGAGACCAATGGCCATGGGAGACAAAAGAGATTTGGTACCCTGGTTCTGAGACAGATGAACAACAGATGCCTGCTCAGTCTGATCATCAAGTAAGTACTAGAGGTAAATCAGAGTGCCGGTTAAAAACTCCATTATAGGTCATGTATGTTTAGCCAGGAAAGGGCCATTGTATACCACACCTGATGGTGAGTTAATATGTCTAGGACAGAAAGCCTATAATGCTGATACAAAAGATACTACTTGGTGGTCAGCTTCAAATGTCCCGGAACCTACTAATCCTTTTGCCAATTACACCAATTTGAAAGAGGTATGGTTTGACTTACCTGTTACATCCAATTGGAAAGCCCCAGTGAATTTATATTGGATCTGTGGTAAGAAAGCATACTCAGAGTTGCCACAAGATTGGGAGGAAGCATATGTGCTAGGTATGCTCAAACCATCCTTCTTCATGTTGCCAATTGAGACAGGAGAGACCTTGGGAGTTAAGGTTTATGATGTAAATCATAAAAAGAAGCGAGCATCCTTGAATATAGGTAGCTGGGAAGATGATGAGTGGCCTCCCCAACGCATTATTAATTATTATGGACCTGCTACTTGGGCAGAAGATGGTACCTATGGATATAGAACCCCAATATATATGCTCAACCGTCAGGCCCGGACTGGCCATCGGGCACACCGGGCAAATGCCCGGTGGGCCGCGGTGGCCGTGGGGCCGAGGCCGACAGGGGAGGTCCCAGGATCTCCCCTGCCGGTCTATGCAGGGCCGGCACTATCCGAGCGCCGGCCCCGCTGTCTTCCATGGAGGGCCGGTGGGGAGATCGAAGATCTCCCTCACCGGCCCATTTAAACAGACCTGTGGCTGGGGAGGGAGGGAGAGGACCCGGCGGAGCTCTATCTTGCAGGGTTCCTCTCGCGAGATCGGGAGCGTTGCCAGGGCAACACCCCGATCTCGTGAGAGTGTTCACTCACCACTGGACCGCCAGGGATCGTGTACACACATCATACACAGCACTATCACACTCAGCACTCACACACATCATACACAGCACTATCACACTCAGCACTCACACACATCACACACAACACTCACATACATCATACACAGCACTATCACACTCAACACTCACACACATCATACACAGCACTATCACACTCAGCACTCACACACATCATACACAGCACTATCACACTCAGCACTCACACACATCATACACAGCACTATCACACTCAGCACTCACACACATCACACACAACACTCACACACATCATACACAGCACTATCACACTCAACACTCACACACATCATACACAGCACTATCACACTCAGCACTCACACACATCACACACAACACTCTCACACACATCATACACAGCACCCACACTCACAGCACCCTCACACAAATCAATCACATACAGCACCCTCACACACACAGCACACACATCACACCTCACACACAGCATCCATCACACACACATACTGCACCCCGCACATACACACACAGCCCCCCGATACACTGCATCACACACATACACAATACTTCCAAACATATTTATATAAACTATATATATATATATATATATATATACACATACACACAACACCCCTCACACACACACAGCACCCCTCACACACACACTGCACCCCTAAACACATTACATTCCAGACACACACTAGATCCTTTAGCCAACTCTGGATCATATACACACATACACACACTAGATCACTATATACACTCTGAATCCGTTATATACGCACGCTCACTAGATCTCCTATACATAGTCTGGGTCCTTCAAACACACATAAGACTCATATATATATATATATATATATATATATATATATATATACACACACACACACACACACACTCTGGATCCCCTATATGCACACTAGATTCCTTGTAAGCAAACACATACTACATTCCCTGAACACACACTCTCTACAAACACTACATCACCTATACACACACACACACACACACACACACACTATAGCCTATATGCACACACTTGCTATATCCCCTATACACACATTCTCTACAGCCCCTAGCCACATATGCATTACATTACACCACAAACACAACACGACTAAAACCGACCTTATTACACAATACCACACCACGACCAGCTCACTCTGCACACACGCAATACCACAAGCAGGCTCCAAACACATGCACAATACTCTTTCCTGGCCCTTTTGTCTCCTGGTATCCATTTATAGAGACACCAGAGACAAGTTGCAAGGAAACACAGTGCAAGCATGTTATTAAATTTGCTTGCACTGTGCAGAACAAATACAGGGCTTTTTTCTCATGCTAGAGCTCTTCAGCAGAGCTCTGCGCATGGTCTACCCTGGGAGAGCATTGAACCAACATGCTCACTTTGAGAGGGGGCGTGTTTGTCATGAGTGATGACAAAACACACCTTCTCTGCCCCGCCCCCTTCTTAGTGGGCCGCTGTGATAAAAAAATGCCCGGGCCGAATTTTTTTCCCAGTCCGGCCCTGTCAACCGTATTATAAGACTACAGGCGGTGGTTGAGATTATCACTAATGAGACAGCTCAAGCACTTAATCTTCTAGCCAAGCAAAATACTCGGATGAGATCAGCCATCTATCAAAATAGATTAGCTCTTGACTACCTATTAGCAGTAGAGGGAGGTGTATGCGGAAAGTTTAATCTCAGCAACTGTTGTTTGCACATAGATGATGAAGGGCGGGCAGTGGCTGATCTTACAAGCCACATGGTTAAACTGACGCATGTACCTACTCAGGTCTGGAATGGGTATAATCCTAGTAGTTGGTTTGGAAGTTGGTATGAGCAGCTTGGAGGGATTAAGGCGTTAGTAGGAGGAGTAGTATTTATTATATTCTTATGTCTCTTTCTGCCCTGCCTAATTCCATTAGTGGTCAGATCTATACGTAGTATCATAGAGAGTACTATAGAAAGAAAGACAGCTGCTCACGTAATGGCTGTCTATAGATATGAATCCCTAGCCCAAAGAGAACATATTCAGGATGAGGAATGCTGAAGGAGTTTGTGATGATGCTAAGATGCTTACAAGGTCTGCTCTGGTCCAATGGCTAGAGGTGTTGGTAAACTATGATTGGTGATGCATCTGGAATAATTTTGTATCTGAAGTGGAAAAATCAATTAAAGTATTGATTATTTCTTTGTGTATCTGCCCCTGGCCAAATCAATGAAACAGTGCGTGCACGCTCCCTGAAGTAATTCACACCAGACACAGGTTCCAGGTTGTTGAATAACTTGAGGAATGTTTATTCAGAGGGGACGGCAAGTCCCTTTTAAAGCAAAATTACATCATATGCATTGTCAGAGATAACATGGAATAATACATCAATAATTGGTTAGGTGTTAAGTGCTTGCTCTAATGCTCTGCCTACTGTAGGTGATGTCACCGGGACCATGAGGGTCTCCCACGGTTTCCCGGCGCCATCTTGATGCACGAGGTAGTTAGTCGACGTTAGGAGGGGAAGGGAGGGGGAAGGAGGGATTAGAAGCTTCTAGCAGCCATCTTGATTAAAATATGTGTGTTTAGTTTTATACGATACATATATTTCATGAAATGAGTAAATAGACATTTTTCTCTATCTAGGAAATATGTGCAGACCTTATTTCCACAACAGTCCCCCCTAAAATGGCTATTTACCATAACAACTGCCGCTGTCCCTAATATGTCCCTAGTTGCCCGCAACCTATCTGTCTTGACAAGCATCGAACGCTTCACTCCGCGGGTATCCCGCAGTGGCTAGCCCACTACATCTCCACACGTGAGACTCACCTGTCAAGACAGACGCTTTCCCTACTCTATCCCTATAGAAAGGCAGTTGTCTGTTTAAACTGATGTGCTTGTAGGGGTGTATGTGGGGTGTCATCTTCGAGGTCTGTGATATCTTGATGTAGGAAGGTAGGGGTCACGTTATCCACAGTCTTATCCACTGCTTTCTGCAGATATTTCTGTATGCAGGGGAGTATGCAACAGGCTAAAAACAAGAAGATAATGAACACTATAAAAACAGCTGTCCCCACCTGGAAGAGGGTCTTTTGCCAGCCATTCATCCACCCAAACCATTTGTCCCATATGTCCGTGGCTCCCGAATTCTTCTTTAATTCGTCGGCAAGACTATCTAGCTTCTCTATGGCCATAGTCACCTTACCATTGGGCCCAGTGTTGTCTGGAATGTATGTGCAACATGTCATGGTTTCAGGGAGGATTTTACATACCCCCCCTTTCTCAGCTAAAATCATATCTAGGGCCATTCTATTCTGAAATGTCATTTGGGTTGTGGCTTGTAGCTGTTCTGCTAGGCCCTGTAGGGCATCCCTTGTATAATTGACAAAGCGCTGCTGATTATAATAGATATAGTTGATCCAATTGACATTTTTATTAGCAGTTATCATTGGAATTAGGGATTCAAATCCTGCAGCTACTTCATCTCTTGCTTTGAATTCGTTGGGCACCCCCCTAGGCACACCTATGGCATCAATATATACATGGGGGTCGAAGCTCCCTCGGATAGGAGCCTCTCGTTTGGTTCTAGAGTGTATATGTGTGAGATTTAAAGTGTTATGACTACCATCTGGAATAATGTGGATAGGCATTATGACTTTGGTTAGGGCACACTCCCCCCACCATTGCCCAGCTAATTGGGACCTCAATTGTTTGTCACCACATAACCAATAGATATCACCGATTGTCTGTGTGTGATTCATTAGCAGAGATACAGGTGGACTATGGTAAGTTGAGCAGTATCCTGATGGGAATTTGCCCAGATACAAACCAGTGTTCTCAGGTATTGAATAGCATGTGTAATTACCTGGGTAGATGGTGACTCCATCAGGTGGTTTCACATGTCCATGGGTGATTGGGTAAACCTTCTTCCAGGATTCACATGTTGAGGAGTTGGTGATAGATTGTGCATACAAACTCAGTACACATGATTCTATTTCGGGGGGTAAGGTCAGAGGTACTGTGCCCAGATGGGGTCTGGCACCTCCACATACGTAACAATTAGTCTTATTGTGTGAGTTTGCGTTGTACCTCATCCATTCTAGCCACAAATTAGTGTCTGAAAACCCTGTTTCTACTGCCATGGTATCCTCAAAAGTGGGGTTAGCTATGGCCACCATGTCATGTAGGGTCTTGATATGTGGTTTTAATGGGTTAATGACCATATGTGTGGTTCCTACCCAGTCAGAAGAATTTAGCATATCTTGCAGGTAAAAGGTCCCCAATGCGTTATGTGATCCGCCTCCCTTCCAGTACATTCCCATCACATACTCCCCTGCATCCCTCGGGCTAGGGTGTTCTATATTCAAGGTGAGTTTAATGGGAGTTGACCCTATGGGTTTACTTAGGGTCATTCTAGAGAGTAAGGGTTTCCCATCTTTGTCAAGTTTGTCTAATGCGACTTGAGGTCTGTAACCCCATGGTCTACCTGTGTTCCACCCGGCAGCTTTCCATGAACTACAATGGTGACCCCAAACTCCTCCAGTCACACAAATGTATGGATCCTTTTTGTTAGGAATGTCCTTATATATAGTTGCATGTTGTGTTTGTGGGAATGTACAAGTGACTATGTCACAATAGTCAAAGGTGTATGTAGCCACATCAGTATTAGAAGAATTGTACCAAAAAGTGTAAACATGATTATCTTTGGTTATGGCCACTTGTTGGGCCCAGGCAGAATGTAGTAGCATAAGGAAACACAAGACACATAATAAATTCATTTTTCAACAGGATCAGTAGGATCAGTCTCTTCTGGAGCAGGAACTTTTTTGCAATGTGAAGCGTGTATCCAGGAACTCTTCCCAGCTAGCTTAACTGACGTTGCTGTAATCAGGAGCACTTGGTAAGGACCATCAAATCTCGGTTCTAGGGTGTGCTTTCTGAGGAACTTCTTAACCATAACCCAGTCACCCGGAAGCAGCTTGTGTGTACCTGTATTCGACTCAGGATCTGGAATAGAAGAAAACACTTGGGCATGTATCTTGGTCAAGGCATGTGAGAGGGCTGTCACATAGTCTACCATAGCATCTGATTGGATCTGAAGCTGTTGGGGAAAGTAACAACCTAACCTGGGTGCTGTACCAAACAGAATCTCATAAGGTGACAGGCTGTATTTTCCCCTAGGAGTGTACCTCACACTAAACAATGCTAATGGGAGACTCTCGGGCCAGGGCATGTTAGTCTCTTGTGACATTTTAAGCATTCTGGCTTTCAAAGTGCCATTCATGCGCTCTACCTTGCCACTACTCTGTGGGTGATATGGTGTATGGAATGCAAGGGTCACCCCCAGTGCTGACCAGACTTCCCGTGTTAGCGAGGCAGTAAAAGAGGTTCCCTGGTCACTTTCAATCACTTCTGGAACTCCATAGCGGCAAACAATTTCCGTCAGAAGGTACTTGGCTGTAGTCCTTGCGGTGAGGTTGGTCACTGGGAAAGCCTCTGGCCATCCTGAAAACATGTCCACTATGACCAATGCATAATCATAACGTCCGCTCTTTGGCATCTGAATGTGATCAATCTGAATCCTCTGAAAGGGATATTGTGGTTTGGCTAGGTGGTTAGGTGCAGTCTTTATAACTTTCCCAGGATTGCATTTAGCACATATAGTACAGGATTTACAATAATTCTGTGTTAAAGTGGTGATGCCTGGTGCTTCAAAATACTTGTCAATCAGCGAGTTCATCAGGAGTTTTGACAGGTGGGCTGGCCCATGGGCCCATTGGACCACCGCTGGATACATATTTCTGGGTAGGCAAAACTTGAGATTGATAGTGTAAACATCATCACGGAGTACAGCTCCTTTGTTCTTCCAACTTTGTTTCTCCTGTGGGGTAGCAGCAGCTTGTTGTTCCTTCAGGAGCCTGAGGTCAGTAGGCAATGTTTGCATAGTGTAGATAGGTAATGCATCTGTGGCCACTCTTCTGTCCACTTCCCATCCTTGCCGTGCTGCCTCTTTAGCTGCCTGATCAGCCAAGTGGTTTCCACGTGCTTCTTCTGTATCCAATTTTCCGTGGGCTTTTACTTTCAATACTGCCACTTCTGCTGGAAGTTCTAATGCATCCATTAGTTCTGCAATAGTTGCCCCATGTTTTACCGGAGTACCAGTAGCTGTAAGAAATCCTCTGGTCTTCCAAATTAAACCGAAGTCGTGTGCCACTCCCAGGGCATATCTTGAGTCTGTATAAATGTTGACACGTAGACCTTCAGACAGTTTGCAAGCCACGGTCAGAGCTGTCAACTCTGCTTCTTGGGCAGACTTGGTTGGTTGTAGAGCAGCTGCTTGTAATACGTGACATCCTGTGGTGACTGCATATCCAGTGTGATACTGTCCTTGTTCATCAGCAAATCTTGAGCCATCCACAAATAATGTTTGATCCGGATTAAGTAATGCAGCTTCATAAACAGTTGGTAGGTGTGTAGTTTCCATTTTCATTTGTTCAAAACAGTCATGAGGGATATCAATGAAGTCACAATCCATGGTAAGTGGGTCCTCACAGGCCTCTGTGTGGTACCTGGGGTACCCTGTTGTACAGTAATCAATGGTCTTTTTGCTGATCCCTGCAGAAGTTAGTTGTGCTTGAGTCATTTGGTTCCATGTTCTGGCCATCGGGCCTAAGTCCTTCCATGAGGTGTTGAGGGATCTGGTGAGAGATATGTGTGGAATAGCTGTATCCCAGTGGTGATAGAGGTGTGTTACATTCTCTGGGAGGCAAACCAAGACAAGCATTGTACCTGTAGAGTCCCAGAATAAATCAGTCAGGGAAATTTGAATTTCTTTGAGCTGGAATAGTTCTTCTTCATAGTTCATGTCAGGGCTTGGTACATCCCTAAACCACAATGTGCAGTGGAGTAGGGCCTCTGGTTGTTCATCATGTGGGGGTGTAAGTACAGGCAACTGTAGGTCTGCTTGAATTTCTGGGTTGATATCCAGGCTGTACCAATGATAGACAATTCCCCCCTTGGGAAGTGGCAGAAGAGTGGCAGGATTCAGGGAAAGACATCTCTGAAGCTTAACATTGTCAGGTAGGAGCAAGGAAGTCTGTAGGCGAAGGTGGCGTTGGGAGGAAAGGTGCTTTGGTTGGGTTTGTTGCAGGATGGCAGTAATGTCATGAGGGGCCAACACTGTTAGGTGGTGGCCGAGAACAAAATTATTGGTCTTGTCAAGGAGGGCGCTGGCGGCAAACACCGCTCGTAGGCAGGAGGGGCTACCTCTCGCGACAGGGTCAAGCATGCAGGAAAAATAGCCAATAGGGCGTTGTCTTGACCCATGTTTCTGAGTGAGAACTCCTGAAGCATGTCCTGATTTCTCAGAGACAAACAGATTGAAAGGAAGTTGGTAGTTGGGAAGGCCCAAGGCAGGTGCTGAGGCAATAGCTCTTTTCAGGTTGTGGAAACAGGTGATAGTTTCTTCAGTGAGGTGGAAGGGTTCACTCCTGAGGGTATCATAGAGTGGTTGCATGAGTTTTGATGCTTCTGGGATCCAGGATCTGCAGTATGTTATAAGACCCAAAAAAGCATGAAGAGTCTGATGTGTTGCAGGTAGAGGGAGGTGCAGAATAGCTTGCACACGTTGAGAAGTCAGATGTTTGGTGCCATGGGAAAGGCAGTGTCCCAAGAAGACCACAGATGGCCGGCACCATTGTAGTTTTGATTTTGAAGCTTTGCAACCTGCTGCAGCGAGAAAACACAGGAGGTCTTCTGAGTCACGCTCTGCAGTGAGCAAATCAGGAGCACAGAGAAGTAGATCATCAACATATTGAAGTAGAACAACATCCAGATGAGATTTCTGCCAGGGATCGAGAACAAGAGACATGGCATGAGCAAACTGTGTGGGAGAGTTCTGAGCACCCTGTGGCATAACAGTCCAGGTGTATTGTTGCCCTTCATGTGTGAAAGCAAAAAGAAAACGGCAGGAAGGGTCAAGTGGAACACTGAAAAAGGCATTGGCTAAATCCACCACAGTGAATATAGTAGAAGTTGGTGGGACTTGGGACAAGAGGGTATGTGGATTTGGAACAATAGCAGTGTCCTTTATGGTGACTTCATTGACAGCACGAAGGTCTTGCACCATGCGGTACTGGTCAGGCTGACCTTTAACAGTTCGCTTTTTGACAGGAAAAAGAGGGGTGTTGCAAGGAGATGTGCATTTGATGAGGGCACCTTTGGCAAGTAGGCTGTCAACTTGCTTGGTGATGGCTTCAGCTTGTGCTGGCTTCAGAGGATACTGTGGTCTACGGGGGGGTAGTGCCCCAGGCAGGAGCTGAACCAGGACTGGGGGTACGTGTAAGCGGCCAATATCATCCGGGCCGGTAGACCAAAGTTCTTGGGGGACCCGATCCAGAGCACTGGGGGTGTGTGTGACCCGTGCATTCCCTGTGTTGTCAGTTATGTTCAGCAGGATAGGGAGGGAGCAGAGGGCAGAGGTATCCTTTTGTGATAGGGGGGTTGTCAACTCGACTTGGCCATCTGCAGTGAAAGTAATGGAAGCCTGAAGCCGAGAGAGAACATCGGCACCTAGGAGGTTAATGGGACAGGTAGAGGAAACAACAAACCGGGAGAGGATGTGTGATCCTACGTGTAAGAGTTTAGTAAGGGGGTTACTGCGAGGTGTACCATCTACCCCAACACAGGAGACATCAGTGTCAGATAAAAAGGAAGGGTCAGGCAGGTCCTGTTCCCTAAGAACACTACGGGCTGCACCTGTGTCAACTAGAAAGGTGGTTGGATGGCCTTCTACGGGGAGAACTACAGTAGCTAAAGGCCCTCCCCCATCCCCCGCAGACACTGCCATGGCAGGGGTTGCTGACACAGGCTTGCCGGTTACCTATTGCAACAAATCTAAATGGGCCTGGTCCGGTCCTTGGTACCTGCGGGAAGTGGAAGGGGGGATAGCAGAATGCATAGGTGGGCGAGATGGACGGGTAGCGTGACGGGTCTGTGCCAGACTGTCTTGGAAATCCTCGTTGTCATACCCCTCGCCAGAGGGCGAGGAGTAAGCACGAGCATCTGATGTGGGTGGCCGGGCATGGGTGTACTCAGGAGGCGGAGGAGGTGGAGGAGGGGGAAGCTGGGGCAACTGTGGAAGGGGTAGGGCAGGGAGATAACCAGTGGAAGGGAAGTTATAGCTGGTGACATGGGGACCAGTGTACCGGGAAGTCTGCTGCCGGAACACCCTCGGCTGTGGACAATCTCTTCTAAAGTGTCCGGGTTGGTTACAATTAAAACAGGTCCTGATTGTTGTGAATGTCCGGTCTCTGGGAAAAGGAAGTGGTGCAGGCAGTGTCTGGGGTGGTTGGTGGTACTGTTGGAGGGGTAACTGAGGTGGTTGGTTAGAACCTGTGATGGGAGTGGAGGTAGTGTACATCAAAGGATTAGTTCTACGTGGTGTGGGTTGTAAAACTGTTTCCAAACCCTTGGCTACCAACAAAAGAGTATCCAGTGGAATAATTCTATACTCAGGGCGAGCTAGGATTAACCCTTTACGAATATGTTCCTTGAGGCCTGCCACAAACGCTGCAGAAAGCATCTGAGTGTGTGCTTTATTATAGGAGCTGAACCCCAAATCTGAAAAAGTTTGAGTTAACCTAGAGTGGTACTTTTCAACGGTCTCAAGTTTGTCCTGAAGAATATCATTTATGCAAGTAGCCTGATCAGCTAGTTTATCCTGAGCCCAGGCTCGGAGCTGTTCACAGAAAACTTCACCAGAGCGAAAATCAGTATCAGAAGTAAGAGGAGCATCGCTAAAGCTCCGTTCCATGATTGGCCAGTATGCATCACCAGCCTTTATTTCACATAAACTTATGAGATCCCGCCAAGCAGCGGAGTATGTTTTGCGGATCTGAGCCATCCGGCGGAAAAAGGGCATGGGGTGCTTCTCAGGGTCAGGGAGTGAAGTCACAAGGGTAGCAGCTTGGGAAGGGTTAAAGGTAACATACATGGGTGGTGCACCATCAGCGCCATGGGTAATCTGGGTATACCCCTGGGGGATGGAGCGCCGTTGTGGTGGTCTGCTCCCCCCTAAGTGAGGTGAGCCCTGGTCCACAACAGCGACCTCCTCGGGCACCACCGGGCCGCGGTGCGGGGTAGTCTCGGGGGTAGCTGTAATAGGGAGGCCTGCAGCGGGAGAGGTAGTTGGGTGGAAGCCCGAGGCCTGGGGGGAGGCACCCATCGCATAGGGCTGGTCCGATGTCACTGACACCTCGGACCCAACCACCATGATTGGGTAACTGGGACTGGCGAGAGGGGCATGAGGGGCCAATGCCGTGGAGGGGGCTATCGTGAGGGCCGGATGGGGTGGGCGTGAGAGGTGGGTGTTCAGGACGTGAGCAAGGGCAGTGATTGGGTCGGAAGGCTCGGGGACATTAGCGGAAGATGAGGGAGGGGTCGGAGGTTTGGGGGGAGGAGGAGGAGGAGGAGGCAAATCAGTGGGAGGTGAAGTAGGAATCGCTGAATTAACCAGGGAAGTAACAGCAGAGAAGAGGGCGGAGATTGAACCAGGCAGGTCATTGGTCACAGACGGGTCGGGAGCCACCGAGGGAGGAGGTAACACTGGAGAAGGGGCGGTAACGGGGGGTTGGGTCAGGGCAGTGAGGGAAGAGAGTAGGGACGGCAAATCAGCTGAGGGAGGAGGGGACAATGGGGTAGATGGGGCCGGGACTTCGGGAGGAGGTAACACTGGAGAAGGGGCGGTAACGGGGGGTTGGGTCAGGGCAGTGAGGGCAGAGAGTAAGGACGGCAAATCAGCCGAGGGAGGAGGGGACAATGGGGTAGAGGGGGCCGGGACTTCGGGAGGAGGTAACACTGGAGAAGGGGCGGTAACGGGGGGTTGGGTCAGGGCACGCACTGTGTGGTTAGCGGGAGGGTTCTGGAGGGTAGAAGGGGCGTCTGAATGTAAGGGAGCAGGGGCTAGGGAGCTGGGGTTAACGGGCTGGGCAAGCACCTTCGAGAGGCTAGCGAGGAGGGAGGGGAGGTCTGGGTCTGGAGGT